ATTATAAGTAAAGTCTTTACATAGAGGAGACATTATAAGTAAAGTCTTTACATAGAGGAGACATTATAAGTAAAGTCTTTACATAGGGGAGACATTATAAGTAAAATCTTTACATAGGGGAGACATTATAAGTAAAGTCTTTACATAGGGGAGACATTATAAGTAAAGTCTTTACATAGAGGAGACATTATAAATAAAGTCTGTACATAGAGGAGACATTATAAGTAAAGTCTTTACATAGAGGAGACATTATAAGTAAAGTCTGTACATAGAGGAGACATTATAAGTAAAGTCTTTACATAGAGGGGACATTATAAGTAAAGTCTTTCATAGATGAGACATTATAAAGCAAGTCAAGGCTTGTCCAAAGACAGCTGAATGTCCTACCCTTCCCACTGACTGCTGGCTGTTGAAGTAGTCATAACACTCTGCTTCTTCCAGAACTGTGATGTCACTTCCGGTCACCAGTATCCAGCCACTGGCCGTCTGAGCGTCGATGGCGTTGCAAGGACACTGCGGTATAATATCGTTCGCGTACAGCACACCTGGGCAAAGGGAACGGTGTAGAAATCTGTTTGTGTAGGTTATGTATAGACATGATAACGTTGTATAAATCTGTTTATAAAGTTCGTACTTGGACAAGGAGAGTGTGGTATAAAGCTGTTTTGTAGTTCATACCCGGACAATGACAACATTGTATAAAGCTATCTATAAAGTAATTTCTTGGACATAGAGAACGTTGTAAATAAAAGTTTATAACGTTCGTAGCAGACAACAGTAACGCTGTATAAAGCTCTTTATGTAGCTCGTAACTGCTCAAAGACAAGGTTGTTAAAAGATGTTTATAAAATCTGAACGAGGATCATTTTGACGAGAGCATGATTTCATGACAATGCCACATCTGACACGTATGGCACCCCACCAGCTTGCCAGTAAAGCCTACTACAAGAAAGTATCAGGGTACAAGGCAAGAGGAAGACTAAGGGAGATCTGGATCAAGAGCGGGAAGGATACCCTGAGAACATACAACATCCCACCCAGCCAGGCCGTCAAACGTGCTAGAGACAGGAAACTCATTCTCCCCTCCCCGCCCTAGAGGTACAAGAGGAAGCAAATAGGCAAGTCAAGTACAGTCAAGTCAAGTCAAGTCAAGTCAAGTCAAGTCAAGTCAAGTCAAGTCAACCACAGAGGGTGAGAGAGGAAGGAGAAAGTCAAGTCAAGTAAACCACAGAGGGTGAGAGAGGAAGGGGATAGTCAAGTCAAGTCAGCCACAGAGGGTGAGAGAGGAAGGAGAAAGTCAAGTCAGCCACAGAGGGTGAGAGAGGAAGGGGAAAGTCAAGTCAGCCACAGAGGGTGAGAGAGGAAGGAGAAAGTCAAGTCAGCCACAGAGGGTGAGTGAGGAAGGAGAAAATCAAGTCAGCCACAAAGGGTGAGAGAGGAAGGAGAAAGTCAAGTCAGCCACAGAGGGTGAGAGAGGAAGGAGAAAGTCAAGTCAAGTCAGCCACAGAGGGTGAGAGAGGAAGGAGAAAGTCAGCCACAGAGGGTGAGAGAGGAAGGGGAAAGTCAAGTCAAGTCAGCCACAGAGGGTGAGAGAGGAAGGGGAAAGTCAAGTCAAGTCAGCCACAGAGGGTGAGAGAGGAAGGAGAAAGTCAGCCACAGAGGGTGAGAGAGGAAGGGGAAAGTCAAGTCAAGTCAGCCACAGAGGGTGAGAGAGGAAGGAGAAAGTCAAGTAATCCCCACACTTCCCGAGACAGTTCAAGGCCACTCACCCGGTAAGCTCTCGCCTGCCTCGAACGTCCGACACTTGAGCCCAGGGTTCGCACCTTCGCCGACAAGGAAGAGCCAGTAACCTTCCTGGTCTGAAGACAGATACAGTTATACCTTGTTTAGTTGTAGTTTGAGTTTTACGGCACTTGCAGCACAATAAGGTCATTTATAAGCGGCGAAGATTAAAAGAGTTACAAGATAGTAACCAACACACACAAAAGGAGAGATAAGGACGAAAGGTGTTTGATAGGAAAGAAGGAGCAAACCACACCAGAGCGCCTTCCAACCTGACAGTTATAGATCGATATTGTTATTGACAAGGACTCTTAGAATAATATGTACACAGGGTGCAGTCGGTGGTCCCCTGGTGCGACTACCGGACTCGTAATCGTGAGATTTCTGCTTTGGTGGTCCCCTGGTGCGACTACCGGACTCGTAATCGTGAGATTGCTGCTTTGGTGGTCCCCTGGTGCGACTACCGGACTCGTAATCGTGAGATTGCTGCTTTGGTGGTCCCCTGGTGCGACTACCGGACTCGTAATCGTGAGATTGCTGCTTTGGTGGTCCCCTGGTGCGACTACCAGACTCGTAATCGTGAGATTATAGTATCGGCGATCAACTGGTTCGACTACCGGACTCGTAACCTTTGTTTGACTACCGGACTGAAATGTAACCATTTATCTGAAAGGACTTTACACTTACTTCCGTTTCCGATCTTCCTGTCGAAGTCGCTGAAGTCGTAGACAGACGCGCCAAAGAACTGGTCCGACCAGCCCACCGCAACACGCCGGTTCTGGCTGGGATCAAACGTCATACCCCCCTTGGCGTAGGCAAACGACACATAGGTAGACACCCCGTCAGAGATGACGGCACACTGGAAGCTTGCTCGCTGATTGGTGTTGGGCACACGCACACACGCACGCACGCACGTACACAAACACACACACGCGCGTAGACACGCACACACGCACGTAGACACACACACACGCACACACACACACACACACACACACACACACGCACACACACACACACACACACGCACACACGTAGACACGCACACACGCACACACACACACACACACACACACACACGCACACACACGCACGCACACATATACAGGCACACACGCACACAGACATAGGGGGTTGGGCAGATTGGGATGGGTGGGACACGGGGGGAGGGGGAAGGAGGGGGGGGAGGGGAGAATTGGGAGAAGGAAAGAAGGAATTGAGAAATCAAACAAAATATGGGAGGGAAAGATGAGAAAGAAGGATTCTATAGCTGGAAACATTAAGAGGAAGAAAAATTGGAGAAAAAGAAAGAATTGAGAGTTGAAAAAGAATTGAGAGAAAGAAAGATTTTAAAATGAAGATAGAATTGAGAGATGACAAGACAAAACAAAGAGAGAACGATTTGGTAGAAAAAGAGAAAGAAATGAGAGATGAAAAATATGAGAGACAGAAAGTACGCACAGATTTGTTACAAACCCAGAGAAAGAATATTTGAGAGAAAGAATCAAAAGAAAAACAATACGACAAGGAAAACAATCAAGAGGAAGTCGCGAGAAAGGAAGAACTGAAAGACAGAAAGAAAGAGAGGAAGAAAGACAGACAGAAAGAAAGAGAGGAAGAAAGACAGACAGAAAGACAGACAGACAGAAAGACAGACAGAAAGAGAGAAAGAAAGGCAGACAAAAAGAAAGAAAGAAAGAGAGAAAGAGAGAAAGAAAGACAGACAGACAGAAAGAGAGAAAGAAAGACAGAAAGAAAGACAGACAGACAGAAAGAAAGAAAGAAAGAAAGAAAGACAGAAAGACAGACAGACAGACAGAAAGACAGACAGACAGAAAGAAAGAGTCCAGTAAAGTTTGCTACATTTTCTTGTTCAGTGTCCAGAAACTTGGGAGACATGGCTTCAGACAGCAGTCCTCAACACTTGTGCAACACATTTCGATTAGTTTTGGGGTTTTTTAATTAAAAGATGTTCAAATTACACACTGCGGTTTCAAAATCTTAAATCTTGGGTATCTTTGGCATGTTCTCAAGAAATGTCTCGTCAAAATATAACTTTCGGAAAGGAACGGTTCTTTTATTTCATTAATTTCAATCTGATCACTCTTTCCGAAGTTTGGTCATCTGTCTAAGAAACCAACCTGTCTAAAACGACCACTGTCTTAAACGACTACATGTCTAAAGACAACCTGTCAAAACGACCATCCATCTAGATCACCCAAGGCCACCACCTGCCTAAGACGGCCAATTTTCTCCTCACAACGAGTGGTTGCCTTAGACAGGTTCTACCGTACAGCAGACTGACCTCTCTGGCTCCTCCAGCCTCTGGGAACGGAAGCATCTCCGACCATGTGACTACCAGCACAGAGATAGCCTCGAACTCGCTGCTCTCGCCCTGTGTGTGGTTCAGGTGGTAGTGTACCTCCCGGCTGGCTCTGTCCAGTGTTTCCGTCTGTCCCTGGGTTCCCCTCCCGAGTGGTTTCTGGTACAGCTGATGGATGGAGGGTGGAAAAGTTGAGGGGAAGAGAAAGACTGTTTGTTGTACAACTGATGGATGGAGGGTGGAAGGTTTTGTTTTAGTAGAGGTTTTACGGCTCTGGCAACTGCATAAGGTCATAATATGAGCGCCTAGGGGTGGGTGTCAACAGAGAAGACCAAACGGAGAATCAGGCTTACTCTGCTCACCTCTCTAGCTTCAACAGCACAAAGTCTGCTTCGACTATCCAGGCACCCCAGAAACAGCGGGTCACAAGAGAGTGACAAACATACAAAAGAAGTAGAGGAAAAAATGACGAGAGCAAGGATCAGGAAAGAAAAAGCAGCAGTTCCCTGTTGCAGTTCAGGCACAGTTATGAGCGTGACATTGATGAATCCGCCCATTTACAATTGTACTGTGCATAAGAACATGGTTAATATCCCCCCTTGGGAATGGCCTAAAGACACTTCAGTCAGTGGCACTGCCCCGGGGGTGACATTGAGAGAAAGGATGACTTGAGAAGACGTAAATAGAGATGAAGATAGAGAATAGAGATGAAGATAGAGAATAGAGATGAAGATAGAGAATAGAGATGAAGATAGAGAATATAGATGAAGATAGAGAATAGAGATGAAGATAGAGAATATAGATGTAGATAGAGACTAGAGATGAAGATAGAGAATAGAGATGAAGATAGAGACTAGAGATAAAGAAAGAGAATAGAGATGAAGATAGAGAATAGAGATGAAGATAGAGACTAGAGATGAAGATAGAGAATAGAAATGAAGATAGAGAATAGAGATGAAGATAGAGAATAGAGATGAAGATAGAGACTAGAGATGAAGATAGAGAATAGAGATGAAGATAGAGACTAGAGATAAAGAAAGAGAATAGAAATGAAGATAGAGAATAGAGATGAAGATATATAATAGAGATGAAGATAAAGAATAGAGATGAAGATGCTGAATAGAAGAGAAAAAGAAAGAAGAAAGAGAAAGAAAGAAGAATGAGAAAGAAAGAAGAATGAGAAAGAAAAGGGTGAGAGTCCCTCACATGATAGTAGACATCTGAAGTATCGTTGGACACGGAGCTCAGGTCTGTCCAGTAGGGCGCCAGGATGTCTGGGTCTCCTGTCAAGTTGCTCGGGTCTGACGGATCGAAACTGTCGAAGAGTTGTCCCAGGCTGATCAAACCGTTGACGGATATCTGAGGGAAATAATACAGATAGATATCTGAGGGAAAGTAATAGAGATAGATATCTGAGGGAAATACAGATAGATATCTGAGGGAAAGTAATAGAGATAGATATCTGAGGGAAAGTAGTACAGATAGATATCTGAGGGAAAGTAGTACAGATAGATATCTGAGGGAAATACAGATAGATATCTGAGGGAAAGTAAGGCAATACACAAACCATGGACTCACCCAGACTTTGGAGATCAGTTTTTCTCTAAAAGGAATTTTGTAGGGAAACGTTACTTCAGCAGACTCAAACTCCTCGTCTTTGGGCAATGTGGAGTCTCCTTGCTGGAAACCAAACTTGTAGAAATCTGAAAGGAAAAATAACAAATAATAATAATAAAAATAATAATAATAATAATAATCATAATCATAATAACAACAACAATAGTAGTAATAATAATGACAATAATAAAAACAAATCTATCCCATACTAGTATAAGCTGTGAGCGCTTTACACCAACCATATAATCATTCACACACACACAAAATATTTCACAGAAGGAAGAAAAACCAGTTTAACCCAATAAAGTAGAACTTTCACAAGCATACATTAACTTCATACGATCGGAGAGAGACAAAAATGTAAATATATATATACATGTATATAAAAAAATCTGAATTTACTAACAGTAACACACTATAACTAACAATTGAACAAATGAGTCTTGAGCAATCGCTTAAACCTATCAAAGTTTATTGTTTCTCTGAGATCCTGAGGCAAGGTGTTCCAGATTTTTGGGCCAGAAAATGAGAAACTTTTCTCACCAAAAGATCGTAATTTTATTCTAGGGGCTCTGAAGTTTGCTGCATCTGTGGATGACCATAACTGACGAGATGGAACATACAGTGGTAAAAGTTCAGATAGGTAGGATGGGGCTTTATCGTTAAGACATTGAAAACAGATGGCAGAAACTTTGTATTGGATTCTTTTATCAACCGGAAGCCAATGCCCTGCTTTTAACCTTTTTGATGCAGGATCTTTCTTCTTTTTCCTCAGCACCAGTACCCATTCCCACCTGGGTGAAGCGAGGACAATTCTTGTAAAGTATCTTTCCCAAGGACACAACGTCGCGCCTGAGGCTCGAACCCCCGAACCCACAACCTCACGATTACAAGGCTGGTGGCCTAACCACTAGGTGGTCTAACCGCTAGGCTATACGAAGTCAAACCTGGTCTCGCGACTACCTGTTTTGAACAATCACCTGTACAAAACAATCACCTGTACTAGGCAACCACCTGTCCAAGACAATCACCTGTCCAAGACAATCACATGTCCAAGACAATCACATGTACTAGGTAACCACCTGTCCAAGACAATCACCTGTACAAGACAATCATCTATACAAGACAATCACCTGTACTAGGCAATCACCTGTACAAACAATCACCTGTACAAGACAATCACCTGGACAAACAATCACCTGTACAAACAAGCCCCCTCGTGTGGTATCTATATCATTGTAATGACTCTCTCCAATATGCCCACCTGTTTAAGACAACCCACTCTTCCCCTAGATAAAAGGTGGCCGTTTTCAACATTTCTGGCCCAAGTAAAATTTCGCAAGCCATCTCTTCAGATGAACTACGCCCACATTTTTAAATTAACAACAACAGCAACAACAACAACAACAACAACAACAACAACAACAAAACAAACAAACAACAACAACAACAACAAGTTTCTTAATGTGTAGCATAGTTTGCATGTGTGGGAGAAACACTTGCTGCAGATTCTGACTACGTGTAGAGAGAAAAACAAAGAACAGATGCATAAAGCCAGCACAACTGTTCAGTAAATTATATAGGCAGCAATGAACTCTGCGCTTGCTACTTCTGGCCCATAGGGGAGTAGGGGGAAAGGGGGGGGGGAGTAGGGTGCTGCTCCCCTTTAGTGAATGTTACTTTTAGTAAGAGTTTCACGGCACTTGCAGCACAATAAGGTCATAACAGTGCCGAAGGTTAGAGGAGTTACAAGAGAGGAACAATCACAAAAAGATGGGGGAGAGATCAGGAAAATGGACGTTGTTGGAAGAGAAAAGGAGCAAACAACACCAGAGCACCTGCCAGCCGCCCACATTAGTGAATAGAAAAGGCAATAGCGAGGAAATAGACAAAAGAAATAGTATAATTGTAAAATCTTGTGATTAATGAGATTATACATTTGTTGTTGGGATTATACATTTCTGTTGTTAAAGCAGACTATATATTTCTGCTGTTGAGATTATACATTTCTGTTGTTAAAGCAGACTATACATTTCTGTTGTTGAGATTAAATATTTCTGTTGTTAAAGCAGCTATATATTTCTGTTGTTAAGATTATACTTTTCTGCTGTTGAGATTATACATTTCAGTTGTTGAGATTATACATTTCTGCTGTTGAGATTATACATTTCTGTTGTTAAAGCAGATATAGGTATTTGCACTCAAAAAAAGGTTTAGGTTGTTAGTCCTAGCGAAGTGTCGACTGCGTCAAGAAAGCTCCGGGGCCAGGGATAGTCGTCTCCACACTTACCGAGCTGACGAATGTACTGTTATAACGACGTGGTGAAATCAGGCGCTCGTCAGTTGGGGCGGGGGGGGGGGGGATTCAGTGTTATTGGGATGACCGTAAAGACTATTTATTTGCCTTGCTTTCGATGAAAAAGAATAGCCATTTGTCTTAAGTAAAGGTGGAGATTTGTGAATGAAGGGGTGGGGTCGAACGGAGTCAGAGGTAAAACAAGCGAACAAATAGCTGCCAAATGAGTGGCTTCCAAAGCCGTCAGGTCCCTGGAAACTGAAAATGTACATTTTTGTGCCTTTGTTCAACGTTCTTGAGTATCTAGTACAAAAATCTACGCAGAAATGTGTCTTCGATGGACAAAAAAGGTGTCGAGCCAAAAACAAAACAAAAAATTGAAACAAATTGCCCAGAGAGCGGAAACATGTCGGATTCTTCGAGTTCATCGTTCGGACGAGCGTCTGGTTTCCCCACGACGCCTCACAGTGTTGGTATAGCAAGCATGAGTACATGTACTATAGGCAGTAGAAGGTTTCTGTTATCTCTTCTGTAGCATCAACGAAGCCACGGGAGCCAGAGTGAGTGAGTTGTTGTCTCGAGCTATCCAGCTCACCGAGAAAACGGATCTACAGACTTCAACAAAGGTTAAGGACCTCTTGCAAACACTCTGAGTGGTCTTCTTGGGTCGACCTGTATGTGGGCGTTCTTGGACTGATCCAGTGGCTTGATGGCACTGCCTCAGGCGGCCAATGACAGAGTGTGACACTGCGAGCCTTCTGGCAACTTCTCGGGCTCCAACTCCATCCTGCAGCAATGCCATAGCTTTGGCACGATCAAAGTCTCTCAGCTTTTGTCTCGGTGGCATATTGATGCGACACTGGATTTTGCGCAAACGGCGGCTTATATTGCCACCAAAGTGAGCACAGTTCGAGACCCTACGTCCGTTTATAACCTGCACCAGAAATTTTACGTGAGGGATGTCCGTGATGTTGCACACAAGTCGAAAAAAAGGCCAATTTGGCTAAAAATTCCTCGAGGATTTCCGTGCTGCACATGGTGGTCTTGCCCCTTCAGTAAGCTTTGCAGTACACATTGGTGACCCATGAACACTTTCAGAGCAACACATTTTTGAACATTCCCTGCTATCTTTTTTTCGGATTAAAAAAAAAAATCAGGGCTGTCTGTCAAGGTGGTCCTTAAGGGCTGGTGGGGCACCTAGAAATCGTGTTTGGGGGTCAAATTTTGTAAATTGGGTTTATTACATATTATAGTACCTGGACACTTCCTGAACAATATCCAGAAACGTATGTGAGCCTTTGCTACACTCTAAAGCTGTGTTTTTGTGTCAGGTTTTTTCGGCGAAAGCACATGTTGTCTAGCCTTTTCTTACCTGTATCGGCTGTTTTCTCACAATTCTTTTTTTTTCACATATTATCCCATTTTTTCTGCTCTGTTTCTTATTCAATTTTAATGTAACTTTCACAGGATACCAACAACACCAAGTTCTAAATTTTGGCTAGTTGAATTTTTGATTAATGTAGTAGTTTTTTTTATTTATGGGCTTAGAAAGCATGAATTTTCCATTTTTTTTCACTTTTTTTGCAACATCTCAATTGTAAATGTCCTAAAATAAAAACTAAAGCATATATCAAAAATTCAACTTGCCAAATTTAAGAGCTACATGTGTACTGTTGGCATGCCAAATTAGAAGTGAATCGGTTAATAAATAAGGAAATGGGATTGAAAAAGGTATACAAAATCCAATATGGCCGCCGTTTCCATAGCA